TCAAATAACTCATTAAATAATGCGATATTCGATATGTGATACGATAATGCTTAAAGTGCCACATGCTCAGATGAAACAGTTTTACTCAGCTGTTGCTGAGTCAGTTCTGTGAACTTCTATAACTATCTCGTGTCATATATATATGGTTATTTGAATGTATGTATGTATCAAGAGCTCCTGTAAAACCACAACAGATTCCTTGTGTTTGCGCACACTTAAGTGGTGAATAAAGCTCATTCTGATTCTGATTCTAATATAACTAGCATACATGTTTCACTTTTTGTGAGAAGAAAGCACCCCTACAACAACTTCTGAAAGTGAACGGTAGTGTTTTACTCTAGCATTACAAAAAAATGTCATTTTAACATGAGTTTAGGAACTGAATAATAAAAAGGAAAAATACAACACTGCTTAGTATTTACTCTATGAATTCAATATGCACTGATTCTTATTTAAGCTACAAAAGTTATTTAGGTAAGAGCAGTGAGTGATTTTCTCTGTCTTTTGTTCATGGCCCCAAATATTGCAAGCCGTAGCGATATGCATATTGCGATATGTACATTTGCGATATTTCGATAATTTCGATATATTGCACAGCCCTACTATATATCTATCTTTGCCTTCTATAATTTGGAAATTGGTGCCTTTTATGACAAAAAAAATGGTTAATGTTATATGTAATTTTATGGTATCTGTTTGTGTGGGGAAAAAAACAAAAAAGTGTGGAAAAATATTCATCAACCGTTTGAACTAATGTACTTGTTTTATTTTTGATGTTTTAGACATTTTTCTAAAATTTTATGTTTAGAAAATTCAGTAAAACTCAAACACCAGTTGTCACTTGTTGCATAGGCCTATACAGTATGGGATATGTAGCCTATAATAAGGATACTGGCATCCCAAACTAAGGGTTAGGGTTAGGGTTAGAAAGAAAAGAAAGAAAGAAAGGTGTTTGCTATGGAGAAAATGCATTTCTTAAACAGTGCAGTTTAACTACACGTTTTAATTGCTTAGTGATCCTTCACCATACATTAGACAAAAACAGCACATTTATTCTTAACACAACAATGCTCAGCTTGACTCACTGAACAATTTCTAAGGCCTTGTATATTTCCATTCCACATTTATTCAGAAGACACAATGCCTGGAAGGCAGTAGTCTTCCTTTTTAAACATGCATCAAAAGAAAGCTACACTTTTGCCTTCAACTATTTTCAAAGATCAGCTCTAGCAAGGGACTTCAGTCGTAACTAAATGCTGGTGTAGACTGAGCAATTAGATATGCTCGTGCCAAAGGAAAGACTATACCCTGATTCTATGACATTAGTCTTGTATTAATTAGTTATCAAGTACTGAGCACAATTCAATTAAATATTGAAGGTCGTGCCACAAAGAACACAGTTTTGACTAGGCTTTTCTAGGTTTTATTTAGCCTATTGGACACACACAGCACTAGCCTAACACTAGTGTTGCCCCTTATTCCTCAAGTGCATGTGTAGCAAACTTCTTAGATAGAAATTCCCAAGACATTTAGGCCTACATTTAAATAACAAGGACATCGTAAACATTCAAAGAACCTACAGATTATTGTTCTAAAACTCCAGTGTCCGTCCGGCATGAAGCGAAAGATAAGGCGCTTACTTGAAGCTGTCATCTCTCTCTCGAACCGGACTCATATTGTCCTGAGCTCTTCTTGTCCCCTTCCATTGAAGTGTTCGCTCCGAGTCTGCCAGAGGCTTGGTGAAACCACAGCGATAATGTCTGTCAGAAAAGCCATGCTGGAACTTCGGTCCGGTAGAGCCGCCGCTCGGCTCAATGCGCTCTACAGTCATCTGCATTAAACACCGTGACTGACAGCTTCACCGCGCTGACAACAGACAGAGCAGGTGACGACCTGTCACTCACGAACCGGACTCTGTCACTATCTGCCATTAACATATCTTAATGACAACCACAGTGCAAATTCTGGGGAAGCTAATAGAAGAGTGTTGCTCCCCTCAGCGAAAGTCAACACAACACACTAGGCTGAGGGGTTCTCAGAAGTGAGTATCTATTGTTTTTACACATACACACGAGTGTATGTAGGTCTATACGTTTCAAAAGCGTCTTAAAAGAACTTCTAAATAACCACACACACACAAAAATAGTTAAAGTCAGAACGCTCAAAAAGGCTGCGCTCACTAACAAAAGTCGAGAAGTAACCATCACAACAGATTTCCGTTCTAGCGCTTTCGTTTAGAATTCGTTCAGAACGATACATAAACAAAACATCAAAACTGTAGCCTAATTATTTATCGTTTTTTTTTTCATCACAAAATTGGCGTGTAGGCTATAATTCAAAAATCTCAAAAATTTCCATTCAGTGAAATTTAATATACATTTACGTTACATTTAAAGCGTAAACGTTAACGGTAGCCTACACTACAATAATGTAAGCCTACACCAAACAGTGTGATTGTTACGGTCAAACCAATTAAAGATCCAAGACACTTAAACTGCTCTGAGGAACTAAAACAGAAAGTGTAGGCTACTAATCCTATAAGTGATCCCCCCCCCCCCAAATATATCGTTATGACCACAGAATCATAATACTAATCATAACGGATGCAAAAGAAACTGAAATATAGCAAGAATACTATCAGATAGTTGCATTTTGCATGTACAACACTAGAGGGAGCCACAGAACAGCAAATGCCAGTGTTACATTTCGGTTTGATTTTAGCACTACTCGCATCATAAAAATGTTTTTAATTTGAACATACTTTCAATATATGGAACCAATTAACGACTTCAGTAGCACAAAAGGCTCATTAATCAATGAAGTCAAAGAATTAGTATGCCGTAGTACCTCTTGGGATTTTTTTTTATTAGTTTGGCTTCTGTGTAAAATGGGTTTGAGAAAAGGGGACGTCTCAGATGAAAACGTATGTACTGTACTGTACAAAAATCACATATCTGCCAGTATCTTATGAAAGGGCGATAAACCATATTTTCTATTTTAGTAATCAAAAATGTATGAGTTACATGAGGGACAAAAACAATAAATATGGACACTAAATCAGCAATTAGGGAGCATTCAATAAATCAAAACTATTATGATTGTTGTTTGTTTCTCCATGGAGAAATCACAGTTTGAAATCACTGATCCTCAGATTCAATTGCCAACATTGAGCCCATGTGCTTATGGTGCTTCAGTGGCTAGTTTATTTATGAAAAGTGCGTATAAATAGTGCAAGAGGATACTGTGTGGTCAGGGTCATCAGGTCGGGGGCAGTGAATCCTAGGAGGTGGAGAGATGAATAGCTGGCGTCGTCTTGGGAGGGCCGGCGATGAGAGGTATTGAAAGGTCATGTTGAAAGTAATACACCCATAACTCAAGCCCCCCGGTAACCCTCCATTCACGCTGTCCCTTACCTTAACGTGCCGCCAGGCCAGCTTTACGTCTTTGTTAAGACTTTTCAGTAGCCAGAAGAGGAATGTCTAGAGTCTACGCAGACCTGACTGATTCACTTTCCATCCTTAAATGTTTTGGTACTGATGGCATAAATAGCTAGGTTTGCTACATAGTTTTAAATGGATTGAATGTACTTAACCGTGCTTCAGAGTAGTTTAAGATGTATTGTAACCTATGCTAATAAACATTATATAGAAATATATATTTAAAAAAAACTTTCCCATATTATATAATATTATATATAGACTACAGTGCAACAGTTTGGGATAAGTAAGATTTTTTATTTTATTTTTTGTAAATAAATTATTTTATTCAGCAAGGATGCTTTAAATTGATTAAAAAAAAAAGTTACAATAGATTTTTACATTGTTAAATTTTTTTCAAATGTAATAATTCAAATAAATGCTTTTCAATTAAATATTGAAAAATAAGTATCATGTTTAAAAAAAAATAATAATAATTAAGCAGCACAACTATTGTCAACATTGATAATAATAAGAAATGTTTCTTGAACATCAAATCGGCATATAAAAATTTTTTTTTTTAAATATCATGTGACACTGAAGACTGTAATAATGCTGCTGAATATTCAGCTTTGCAATCATAGGAATAAATTACATTTTAAAATATCTAAAAAAACAGATATTATTATTTATATTATTTAAATGTATTAATATTTCACAACATTACAGTTTTTCTATATTTTGATAAATTAAATGCTGTATAAGAGACTTCTGTCAGAATTATATATATATTTAAAAAAAAAATCTTACCGACCCCAAACCAATGGTGTAGTTTTAGGAAAATAGGAGAAAATATGACTGGTATTTGTTTTTGTTTGTTTTATTACTATAATAATTCACTGAATCATCATAATATTATTTGAACAAGAAACTGGCAAATACAGTAAATATTACACAGTAAATTGGCATTGTAAATACTTTGATATAGTTAATGTACTGTAAATGTTCAACAACAACAAAAGCCTGCACATGACACTTTTTCCATGTTCTGCCAGCATAACTATGCTAACATAACTTGTCTATAATTTTTAATACAATCCTTTTGAGAACCATTTATTCAGCTGTTGTATTTCCATTTCCTTCTTCCCTTCTTTCCTTTCCTCTTTCCATCCTTTTCTCTCTCTCTATCTACTATAGTAAATCACTGCTATACTTTTACCATTAGGTTATACCATTCTTTACCCTCAGTTAAACAAACAAGCTACAAAACACTGTGTGAATCACCTTGTCCAGGTCTTTGAAACAAGAATACACTGCACCAGAAATAACCTTGCAGGATAACAGAGCAGGTATTTATGCAAAAGTGTCTGAAGCAAAGGCTGGGTAAAATGGATTACTGCCGCCCAGAGCCGCTGAGCAGCTCACCAGCAGCACTAATAACCTGTCCCCATATATTCAGTCATTCCCATCTGCTTTGATTTAATGCCTATTACCCAGCCTCCTCCACAGCCTCTGAGCTCTGATTGGTCCACTTACGTGCTAAGCCCAGGAAGCTTATAGTATTTGTACAACGTGAGACACAAAGAAAGCTTGTTCCTTTGCTGAAAGCAGTGTGCGCGTGTGTGTTTGCTTGGAGGATGTAAACCCATACGGTACGTACCTTTCAGAGCAGGTTCATCATCTCAGAGGGTCTCCATCCTGTGGACGGTTAAACACAAAGAGGGCAGTCTGGCACCTGAGGGGAAAGAAAAGATCACAAGCAGGAGATTTGAACTGGATAGCAGGCACTACAGAAGAGGACCTGGGGTCTGGACTGAAACAAGAACTGACTGACATACGTGTTTTGGATAACAGCTGAGGATGATATGATCTGTCATGTGGAGGACGCAGAGGCCGATGAGCTTCTCAATGAGCTTGTGCTTCTGTCTGTGAAAGAACCAAGAAACACATCCAACATCACTGCCAAGCAGAGCCAAAATGCCTTCATTTAAAGGTAATGTGTCTTTTTGCTTTACGCAACATTCTTTTCTATTTATACTGAATGGTAAAAAGATGCTGGAATTAATTTTATTGTAATATTTTCCATCTAACTATTGAATCTATGTGCAAACATGTATGTATATGAGTTTCTTTATTGACAAAAGTTGCCTCTAGTTAATGGGACAGATTCTTTATTATAGAAATGCTTAGAGTTACATGTATCCCATTTTCCCTCTCCGCTTCAAGCTCTTTAAACAGCTTATGAGGCTTGTTGCCTTCTGGAAAGACATGCAACGACGTGGAACATTGATGTTTAATCCTTGTTGACAGCAAACTCCATAATACAGTACATGGATATCGTTACATAACATCGTGTCCACTCTTGGCATCATTTTTCAGTCTTAAATTTATGCTTTTTGATACATAATGTGAGTCGCTGGAACCAATGAATGATATCTAAAACTGAACAGAGGGTTATAAGATGAGCTCTTTGTGATATATTAAACTGACTAGTTTTTTTTTCAGTCTTTCTCAAATTTAAGATTATAAAAAGTAGTTAATAATTGCATTAAAATGCAAACATCTTTGATGGTTGTGCTGACAGTCCTATAATAGGAGCTTTATGCACTATTTAGTTACACCGTAAGTTTCTCTGGTAACTAAGATACATCTTTGTGTTAAACATCTAGGAGGTGACAAAGTCAGACAGCCTTTGCAGGGTGTATTTCTAGGCCTCTGACACTCAGCTGAGCCGGCTTTTAGCCCCTAAGACCAGGCCACACGTCTGGTGCCAGGACCCTGCTGCTAACAAAGTCAGCCGGAGGTTACTGTCATAGGGCAGCATAATGTCACTGTGTCTCTATCACTGATTCTGGAGTTGTGATCAGAGATACTGCATGTTATAAGCAGCCATGGGGAATTGCTAGGCAAAACGTGTGTTTTCATTTTAATATAACAGTTTAGTGATTTTATTGTTTGTTTTGTCATTTTTATTTTTTCCCCATTTTATTTTAGTACATCAGTATACTAATTCATTTTGTTAGCCTACTCTAAACAGCATTTCTCTCATAACAAGTACGACAAGTGTTGGTTGAGCACAGACCTGTTAGTACACAGGTTTTATTTGGTTCACAACAGGACATAACTGATCAGACTGAGGAGCAATCCAATAACCTGATTAATCAAACCCGCTGTGCTGATTTAGCCTTATATAACACCCACCTCGAGACAGCGGGGTCCAAAAGTCTGTTCTTTAAAAGTTCTTCACCCTGAAAAATAATTAAAAAGAGAAAAATATTTAAATATCAAAAGGAAAGTTATAATGTAAAACAAATAAGAAATATTTAACATTCTGAGTCACAAATGTGACATTGATCATTGCACATACAGAAGTTTTCGCTTCCACTGAAGCTCAAGGTGCTCTTTGGATCATTATCATGATTTCATGATTATCAAGTTGTACACAACAAACTTGCCAGAAAAACAAAACCACTAGAAACTTTAAAATTCATTTCATTTTCAATTCAACTTTTCACTTAAATTGTAATACGATTTGTAATGGAAATAAAGAAAATAAAGTCAATTAGGAGGGGAAAACGCATAAGCATTTTTACTGGTAGTCTCCGACTTTGACAGCACTGAAAAATAAATCACCAAAAAACACATTCATATCAGTCATAAGTAGTAGATGCTTAAATTTATTTCATTTTATTGCTCCTGTGTTCTATCCTCTTACTTTTTCTACTTTTTCACATAATGGGACTGATCCTTTGGAAACAAACCTACTTTCAAGATGATTTTTTTAAAATCAGTTAATTCTCTTTATCCCTTTCTTCTCCTTGAGTAAGACTTTTGTTGTTAGCGCTCACTTACAGCATTACCGGCATGTGTGAGAGGCTCATGTTTTGCGCTCATCTGTAATTCAGCAATTGTTGACAGGAATACACCTAAAAACATACCTTTTTGGTAAAATTTACTATAAAGAAAGCTACAATTCAGTGGTATGTGCAGCAGCAACGTGTCAGTGAAACCCAAGAACCGCTCAGTATTCGGTTACAGGAGATTTCACTGGTTTTAGTTTCCTGTGAACTCCAGGCCTTCGTGGGGTTTGTCGGTATTGTGTATAGGTGTGTAGGCAGGTATGACCTGCTTTTCCCAGCCTGTGGCTCCAGACTAGTCCTTCACCTCTCTTAAGTCATTGTGTAGGGCCAGATTCTAATTACAGCCCGAGTGGGTGTGTGAGCACAGCAACAAAGGGAGAGCAACATGGAAGCCTCTGTAAGGTGGACAGAGGATGCTCTGTCCGCAGGTAAAACTATCCTTTTGGAGCTCCCGTAGCAATCACAGAGCTCTGTTGAAGGGGGAAGGGAGTAATTTCTTACACCCTGATGAGGGAACCTTTATTCACTATACCGTCTCAAGAACAATGGAAGGAGCTCTGCTAAATATGTCAGCTGATAAGCAGTCACTTGTAAAAGATGTTTTTACTTTAGCATTGGGGTCATGTTCGTGAGGGTTATCCTCATGAGAAAGATTCACAAAAGAATTACAAGATCGATTAGAAATTCCTAAAGCATCCTTTGGTAAGTTTCGCCATCTCGCTGCCACAAAGTCTTGTTATTCCACACCTACAGGCTACTGTATTGAGTAATTTATGTCAGTTGGATGGCACTGCTGTTGTTAAATTGATTTTTTTTAATCATCCACTGACAAGATGTACAATGCAGGCACATAATAGCATTTTTATAGGCGTGAGGTTATTAGATTCAGCTCAGGCCTAAAAATGAGGTCATAAAAACAGAATTTCCTCAGGGTCAACTTAGTCCTTCAGTAAGAGAGAACCTCAAAGTAAGATAAAAATGAACAGTCAGCAGGCTATTAACACAGAATAAACCACTAAAGGGTGATCAGGACTCTGGGTCTTGTATCAAGCTGAAGGGTTTATTTTGCTGACTTACTGTAATGAATACTTGGTCTTGGTGGGATAGTCACCAAATAAATTAGAAATATGAAATATTAAATTGAGTAAAAATATTTGTATTATGTGCAAAGAGACTGCAGGGTGATAAAAGACATGAAAAAACATTTTTGTTGTGGAGCTAGACTTCAGTTTTTTTAATGTCTACTACATATAAACTACCAGTAGGAGGCAATATCAGTTCCCACAAAATCCCAGTTGTATGTTTCTAGCCTTAGGGGGTAGAGGAAATAAATGGGATGTCCATTTATCTCTGCTCTCAGTTCCTCTCCAATAGCTATTTGTGGATCACATTTAAAAGGCTAATTTTGTCATAAATTAGTGCTGTGTGCATCGAAAATTCAGTCGTGCAGTTACATTTTTTGGTAATATTGTTGCTGTGTTTTGTATAGTACAATGCTCAAACACTGTGTTCAGTTAATATAATATAATATAATATAATATAATAGTACTTGTGTCCTATATTTCTCCACCAGCTGCTTATAAACTTTAAAAAGAAATCAAATATTTCCATGTGAAACAGATTAACATAAGTGGAATCTTAGCAATCCTCCAATAGCTGAATAAAGCCATTGAGTCAGTTCCTGTGCTTTGAAATGATTGTGAAATGGTACACACTGTGTATTGAGAGAGAAGGCAAAACTTCAGGATGGATTGGTTAGCAAGCAGTACATTGAAAGAAATCAGTGTGTTTAATCATATACTGACGGTAAAAGCACTTATCCTTTCGTATAGTCAACATTGTGCTATCTGAAATGAAGCAGTACTGATTATCTTCCTCTCAGGGTTTCTATCAGACCCTGTCTGGTCTCTTGAAGATGACAAAGTGCAAAGCGTAGTGGTAGTTGACAGTTTGCCGGTTAAATTTAGATGTGTGAGCGAATGTCTGACGGGCTCAAGCAACCCTAGCAGGGACAAGGAACCTCCCAAAATGGTACTCGGTGAAATATGTGGCATGTCTGCAGGGTGACCTCCTTAATGCGATCAGAGTAGGTATCAGATTAATTCCTATTGATGTTTTGGTTCATCCACACCTTTTTGACCTGTTTTACAAACAAATGAACAATACTAAAGAAGTGATTAAGACCAATTCAAAACTGGAACTAAAGGCACAGTCCACCCAAAAATGAAATGAATATTTAATCTCCCTCATGCTATTCCAAACCTGTATAACAGAAGATATTTTGAAAAAAAGTATGTGGCATATGCAGTCACCACATTGCAGATTACTCAGCCAACAGCCAGTGCTAGGATTATGTAATCAGATTCCAAAACTTGTAATTAGACTATATTATATTTTAAAATGCTGATAATCAGATTAGAGTTACTTTTTATGGATTACATGATTACATATTATTCACACAAAGTAAATTATTTAAAATGTTTTTTTTTTTTCCATGAACCCCAGTTTGGGAAATCCTGCTGTAACGTAATGCTTAGTGTATTTCATGATATTGATAACATACAGAATGGAATATATCTTCTTTCTCCATGTTTTTTTAATCAGTATGGTACACAATAATCACATTCAAGTCTATATAAGTCAAAAGTAATCAAAAAGTACCCAGACTACATTACCTAATATGTGTAATCCAGATGTCCCTAACTACAATTTTTGTCATGTAATTTATAATCAGTATTGGATTACAATTTGTAATCTACCAGCACTGCCAATAGCTGCTTTCTTTCTTTTTTATTCTTTTTCTTTGTAAGCGATTTGGCAATACACTTACAACAGCAAAATGCCCCAGAAAAATCCATAGATGTGCACTAAAAGTGGAAGATAAGTGATGGTTTAGTTTGCTTTGCTTAGAAATAATGGTCATTTTCTCTCACAATAGTCAAAACCCTATCATCAACAGAAAATGTAATACTATTACGAGCGGTATTGTCACTTTAATGAATGGTCCATTGTGGTTCCACAATGAGCTTCCTCTCAACATCATCACACATACCTCCAGGAAAACATTCCTCAGTAAATATCCACCACAAGGGAGGGGTACTGCGCTATTCATTACCATCCCATGATAAAGCATGCTCTCTGTTGGCTGTTACTATGACTACCAGGATCTTCTCCAAACCAATGAGAGCCCTTCACTTCTGTCGACCCAAAACAAGTGCACTGAGAAGGGGGTCGGCATGTCTCATTATTGATCCGCGTTTTCAATCTCTTGAGTCAAGAAAGCGCGTCTGAAATCGGAATATTGTGTCCGGGCAGCCATAGCGCTTGTTGAGAGGGATAATAACAATCGACTGCTTGCCGAGAAGCTGCGCGAGGGAACTGGCGAGAGAATGGTTTCATGTTTTTGATGCAAACACACGTGTGTGCTTTCACTTAACGGGATAATAATTTATGAGGGAATATAAACCGCGTTTGTTCAGTCTGCTGGATTGCACAACATATAGGAGGTAAGGACTGAAAGAACAATTTGCATTTATTTAATTGTACCCTTGTTATAAAATTGCTTTATTGCATATAAGAGTTCGCGATGTAATATGTGATTTTTCATTAAACAGGATACACTATAAAATAGGATTCTTTATTTAACATTATGCGCTATAAAATTATGTCATATTGAAAAATGCACTATAAAATTGGATTTAGCATTACACAATATGCACTATAAAATGTTTTGTATTTAACAGCGTGCACTGAAATGTCTATATTACTGCACGTGAGTTGCATTCGGTGAGGTTCGACATGCTGTTGGATTTTCTCACACCTGAAACCGTCAAGCACCGTGATGTTCAGAATCATGTGAGAGCAGATACATATGCGATCCAGTAGACTGTATGGAAGTATCATAGACAGAACTACGTCAGCAGCACAAGTGCAATGGGCCTGATGTAAATGAAGTATTTAATGATTAAAGGACCCAGGGCCTTGCGTACCTCCACTGGAGCTTTAAATGATCCCTCGGTCAATGGTTGCTGTGCAATTGTCATTAATGTGTCACAGACTCTGATGTGCTTCAGCAATCGCAAGGTCAAGGAGGTCATTACAGATGTGCACTACGTCATAGACGAGGCCAGCTACATAATAAATAAAAGGGGATATGATATCATTGTGCCATTTTTTTTTTCATAGAATGACACATTTCTTATAGGTAATATCTGGAATTCACAAGTTCTACCATTCTCATCATTGTCTTTTTTTGGTCTTTTTAATATTATTATTTATGGCTGTAAAAAGTTGGGTTAAGATTGAGTTGGTCTACTGCTATTGTGAGTGTCAAAGGTCATGATAAAGGCCTTAACACTTAATTATTTCAATATTTTAACATGACTGCCATGAGTTACCCTTGTAAAAAAGAAGTACACTTTAGCATCATTTCGAAAAGAATAGGCTACTTATTAAGGAAATTAAAAATAGAACTAAATGCAAACTGAATGTGATGTTTTTGGACACTCAATTGCTTGTTATTTGCAATTAAATGAAATATATTTTTTATATGAAATTAGGCCTAGTTGAACTTAGTGAACTAATGTCAAATATCATTAGTATGTCAAAAAGTACTTTTAAATTGGCCTTAAGATACATTTTTATATGTAATTTCAAAATTACTTATACTGTCTACTGAAATGTGGTGAAAGTGAACTGATGAATGTACTGATAAGCATTTATAGTAAAACATATATATTTACCTAAGGATGTTAAGGACATTAAATCAAACATTTACAGGATATTAATGATATTACTTCGCATTTGTTAAGCTCTAGTGATGGATTCTGATGCTTCTATGTTCAACATGTTTTTTTCCCCCCTGCAGATCTAATACCGTTGCAATTTGACCTTTGTGCTTTCTTCTAAAAAAGAAAGAAAGAAAGAAAGAAAATAATAATTTTTTTCAAAACAAGAATGATGTGTAGGGAAATCCACTAGACCATGTCAATAAATTGTTTCTCACTCTTAACCTTTAAATATAGGACATACTTCACTTTTGGGAAACTGTTTGTTAAGTCCTGGATCATGACCTGATACCTTCCTTTCAGCTACACTTTAAAGGCTCTGGTTGATGTAAGACTGAAGTCATCTCAGGCACGAGCATATGAGTGATGCTAACTTTACTGGGTGGTTTTCTTTGGCTCAGGTTTGTGCTGACACCTTCAGTCTCTGCACATTCTCTGAGCTCCTCCTGGGTGACGGTATCTCTCACGACAGGAGGGGGCAGCTCACAAGGTGTCAGGCCTTCTGTGCAGCTCTTACTCTCGTGCTGTTAGAAATAAAAGTCAATCTCAGCATGAAAAGTCTTTGCAGGGGGCAATCAAGTGTGAAATTTGTCCTGATGTAGGCTATAATGTTTAAGAACACAACAGTAAGAAAAAAACTTTGAAATTCTTTTGGCCCTGATGTCTTCTTGAGGGTTCATTTGTTTCACATTATATTAAGTGGTAAGTTAATTTGTCTTTATAGAGCACACTGTAAAAAAAAAAAATCTGTGACATTTACGGTAAAATACCGGCAGCTGTGGTTGGCCAGAACTTCACCGTAAAAAATATGGTAGCAACATTTTAGGTTTTACAAACTTAACTTAAATTCACAACAAAATACCGTATTTCATTAACTGATGTAATGTTAATAAACCAACATATTGAAGTACAAATATCTGTTTTGAACCATTGTAATGCACTGATAACCACCAAAAACTGGTGGTGATGAGAAAGTCACATGATGAACCAAAGCTCATCACAAACAGCTTTTCTACGAGCTGAGGAGTGCAATACTTATATATAGAAGGTACACAGTGTCATTAACACAAACACTAAACCCCATCATGGTGACACACATGATACTGAAAAAATGCAATAAACATTAATTTAATAACATTAGATGTAAGATTAAACCCTAATGTACACAACTGATAAGAAAAAACTAAGAAGAAACATGGTATTTCAACAAAAAACATCAAATATGAAGTGTCATGCAGGGAATTCTGGGAGTGTCAATTTACGGTTTGTCACTGTAAATTATACAATGGCTTTTTTCTTTTTCACTTCCAAAAACCGTATTTTTATCAGTATTTTACTGTAAAATTACATTAAATGTAATAACATTTATTCACCGAATATAGTATGGAAACTTACTGTTAACCAGTTAAAAGGTTTTTACTGTAGCATTTTTACAGTCTTTTACTGTTAAAATCACAATCATTTTTTACAGTGTAGACATTTCAGAAAATTAGCTCTTTACAACCTAATCTTCGTTGTAAATAAGGTCTCCAGGGTTCAGGCCTTGTTCCAGCTATAGACTTATTTAATTCCCTGCAACTGGGGCAAATCAAACAAGGCCAGTCAAATAAAGTTTAGAAGAATAAAACAATGCAATCTCAATCAGTTTACCAGAATCAACCATCACTAAATTAGAAAGAGATGACAGGGTGTACATTAACACTTCTGTATCCAGCCATTGGTATCCTCTGGTTCCTAAAATCTCCTGGCCGATACACTTCCCGGCAGTTTCCTGGTCAGTATGAACGGTGTATTCAGGCCATGCCAAAATACAACCCCTCCTACCTCTCTATTGTCAATGCTTCATCCTTCCCATAATGCCAAGTGACTCGTAAAAAACAGAACTGCCGGTGTGATTGCCAGAAGCAGGCCTAGAAAAACTTGAAGGCAATTCCGGGAGACCAATGAAATATCCCTCCATGGAAAAAAAATCTGTGACATTTACGGTAAAATACCGGCAGCTGTGGTTGGCCAGAACTTCACCGTAAAAAATATGGTAGCAACATTTTAGGTTTTACAAACTTAACTTAAATTCACAACAAAATACCGTATTTCATTAACTGATGTAATGTTAATAAACCAACATATTGAAGTACAAATATCTGTTTTGAACCATTGTAATGCACTGATAACCACCAAAAACTGGTGGTGATGAGAAAGTCACATGATGAACCAAAGCTCATCACAAACAGCTTTTCTACGAGCTGAGGAGTGCAATACTTATATATAGAAGGTACACAGTGTCATTAACACAAACACTAAACCCCATCATGGTGACACACATGATACTGAAAAAATGCAATAAACATTAATTTAACAACATTAGATGTAAGATTAAACCCTAATGTACACAACTGATAAGAAAAAACTAAGAAGAAACATGGTATTTCAACAAAAAACATCAAATATGAAGTGTCATGCAGGGAATTCTGGGAGTGTCAATTTACGGTTTTTCACTGTAAATTATACAATGACTTTTTCTTATTCACTTCCAAAAACCGTGATTTTAACAGTATTTTACTGTAAAATTATGTTAAATGTAATTACAGTTATTCACCGTATATAGTATGGAAAGTCACTGATAACCAATTAACAGGTTTTTACTGTAGCATTTTTACAATCTTTTACTGTTAAAATCACAATAATTTTTTACAGTGTAGCAGCATGACTTCAGGACAACTTCCTTCACTCTGAACATTAGTTTAGACACCCTGATAAACAAGAACTGTCACCAGCACAAAGCGTCAGAGACAAAAATAGAGCCAGCATCATGGAGCCTGAATCACTAAAATGTATCTTAAGTGAACTTTAAATAAAAGAATGATCTTAAGTGCACTTAAAATGGTATTAATGAAAAAAAAATAGCTGTATAAAACTGGTGAAAGTGAACAAAGACGTTACCTGACAGTCATCCTGTGTTGTATGTATTAACGCATAGTATTTGGTATGCCCTGGCATACTTGAGATGTTTGACCACTCATAGAGGTCTTCTTAAGCACAGATCTGTATATGTTGTCACTTTTCCCCAGAGGCGTGGAGTAACTTTCCAGCCTGCAGACGTGCATGTCTCCATCTGAAAATAGCTCGAACTACAGCACTTGCTCTGAGAGGGGGCTTGCCTCTCACTTTCTTACATCTTTTGCCTTCAGAAACCAGCTGCAGTCTGGGACTTTAACCCAGAAACGCAGCAGATCCTCTGGGCTAAAGTGAGAAGTGTGGACGTGGAGCCTGCTGCCTGTCAGCTCGGACCCAGCGCCTGCTTTCAGTCCTAATGCCTGGTAAGGATTTGCCTTTCATTTTGTTTGGGATTGATTGTGTATATATTTTAGCAAATATATGTATTCTTTTTAGTAAGGTGTGGTATAGGGAAGAAGTCTTTTCCCATAAATATCACATAAAAATTTACTTTCAATAATAAAAAAGTCTGTAAATATAATATAAAGGCTGTAAAGTACAGTGTAGAAAAGAAATACAGTATTTAGCATTAAGCACATATTAAAGAAATGACTGATTCATCGTATCACTTGAAAAGAAGGGAATCAATTATTAGATTTTATAATGCAGTACTAATGATGATCTTATTGATATTAATATTATTATTAGGGACAGTCTAAAAATGAAGCCTAAATCCCTGGTTTGAATGATTGCTATTTTCTACCAACAAACAATAAATAAACAGCAAACAACAAATTAAATAGACAAAGATTTTTAAATGAACATATAAGTATATATAAAAAACTGTCAAAGTGGATAATAAGGTTGCAAGTAACCGCTGCTCAGCGGAGTAGTTAGATAGTCTGGGAACAAATGATAAATGTGTATTTCCCATGAATTACAGAAACATATTTGTTCTTAACAAGAACTTGAATAACAGGGTTGAATAGTTGAGTCTGATAAATGCTGTCAATGCTTTTTAAATGTAAAAATTATGTAAATGAAATTAGATTATGTACTTGCACAAAGCTGTATAAAGGGTCAAAATAAAGTTATTGTACTTCTTGAGTGTCAAAAGTCTAAATAATATATATTTTTTGTATTTATAGTAATAAAACAGGGTTGAGTGCAAAATGTGTCGCAGTTAAATATTATTTTGGTATTTAAAATTAATTAATAATATTTATTTTACTACAATAAATTAAATATAACTTCAATAGATTGTCAAAATCATGATGTTTTATGATTTTACTTGTTAGATACTTTCGAGAAGGTCAAGACCTCTGAGGTCAGACAAGCCAACAAGCTACTTTTCATGCTAGATTAATTTTATGTTGGATAATAGTTTATATAACATATGAAATAAATAAATAAATAAAAACACTTTAACATCTTTTGAAATGTTTTTAAAAAACTAACAGTAAAATGCCATAGGTAGCAGCAATGCTTAATGCAGTTCAGGGCTGCGGCTTTAGAAATTTTAACCCAAAACAAAGTGGAAAAAGTTTGTAAAAGTTTTAGCATAAAATAAAATACTATAGAAAATATCTAAGTGAACAAGAATTTTAAAATATACACATGCCTCTGTCAGTTAGATCTTAGTTTCAGAATGTGTGATTTATGTGCACTGTCCCAAAACAGAATAGCCAGCCTTTACTGATTCAGTCCAGACAGATGTATCGCATGCACGGTTTGAAATAAGACCGCCTTGTCATACTTAAAAAGAGCCTTTGTTACAATCTGCCATCTCTCTGACAACATTTATTAATATCAGCTAAATTGCATTTCACTCTGTAATGTAAGGCATCCATTGATTAACTGTCCATCATAAAGCCACAATCCTTTCAACGTGACCTTATGTTCTTTTTCTCATTTTAGTTTGAAAAAAAAAAATACACATGCACGGTACTTCTGTGATTTGTGCTAGGGAATGTTTAAGACAGAATTGAAGCAGCTTTGAGAGGTCAAATGTGACATACAGCATAACGCACACTGGGTGCAATATCAGCACAGGAGCATGAAAAGCTGTCATGAAGATGTCTTACAGGAGGCCGCCTGGCAGACTCTGGGCCTGCTCCTGTTTTTGTTATGGGGGAGGGCTCTTTCGTGACTGTGGTATTTTTAACTTTGTATAATAAAGGAGTGCCCAGTCCCTGTTTCCTGAAACTGAACCCTTGTTATACCACTGTAGGACCACTGTAGGACTGGACAAAGATTATATCATATTAATGATTATCACTTTAAACTTTTCACAAAATTCAATGTATATTTCTCAGAATTTTTGAATTTTCTCTGATTTTCTGTTCTTTTCAATTAAAGGAATCAAGCAAACAGCCACTGTAGCCTGTTAAATTCACAAGTAAAGTAAAATCTACTTAAAAAACAATCAAGGCTGGTTTTAATTCTTCACAAAATTTACACAGAAGAGTTACATAGAAAAATGATATTTAATCATTTGCATTCATGCACCAATATAACAACCTACAGAAAGGTATAGAACCAACATTTTTGTATGAATTAAAAAAGTTAATAAATTAAGTTTTGAATCAGTTCACTTACATTCAATTCAACTCAACATTCAAATGAATAAGTGAAGTTTTGAATCAATTCACTTGAACTGATTCATGGTAAATAAAATTCTGTCATCATGTACTCACCCTCAAGTTCCAAACCTGGATCTGTGTCTTCTGTGGATTACAAAAGAAGACATTTTGAAGAACATCGAAGACCAAACCACATGTGGAACCCACTGACTTCTATTGTATGGAGAAAGTTCACAAAACATCTTCTTTTATGTTCTACAGAAGAGAAAGGCAAACAGTTTTGGAATGACATGAAGGTGAGCAAATGACAGATTTGTTTTTCTATTTTTTTTTAAATTAATATTAAGTGAACTATTCCTTGATGTTTTAATCAGAGTCTTAACAGACTCTACAGCAAGTCACAGGGAATCAAAAGTAAAAGCCTATATGATAAATTAAAAGTGCATTGAAATCATCCCAACACAAGAGTGCTTCATTTTATATTGTCAGCGAATCATATTCAGATATTGCTCAACCCTAGTATACTCTGTACAGTAACACAATAAAGACTTGTTGAATAAATAATCTGTTAAATAGCGTGAATCTATAATCCCTTTAGATCTGCTCAGAAATGTTTGTGAGCCAATTAATTGTTTGCTAAAGCATTTAGGCATGTTTGAAGAGTTTTGAAATACTGGATTTTCTATTTGAAGGCAAAAGGCATCTCTTTGATGTCAGGTGGCTGTTTAAATCAGATTGTTTTGAATGATGTATTGGAGCAACTACACAGGATGTCAACCGATTGGCTGGCGTACACATGGCGATATCATGTCAGAGGACTTAGCAGTCTGTCACTTTGGGTGCCCTCCAGAGGTTAAACACCTAATTAGCAGATGGATCTTCCAGCCCAAGGGAGTGCTTCTGTCAAAGGAATGGGTCCAACTGGTTTTGTAAATGTCAGCCCATTTAGATATTTGTCAGATTGCGTCTAGGAGAAGGTGCTGGCATGCTGAGTGCTGGCTGCTTATCTTGGCTCTCAGGTCGGGTCCCTGTTTCGCTGGCCGTTGTGTGTATACATTATGAGACCCTCTAAAAGCCTTCCTCTCTTTACAAAGCACAGAGCTTCTTACTAAAAGATGAATAAAAAAGACAGGTTTTGCAATTGTTTTGAAATGATTTCATCAGGATATTTATATCTGTAGACATCGGCTAATGTGCACTTTGTCAGACTAAACATTCAGAAGACATGCTGAAGATGCCATACATGGCAACACTACCAAAAAAGGAAAGATGCCAATGTTTAGGATGTTCTCTGGTTAGCTGGATATGATAAAACAGATGTAAGAACAAAGCTATGCCAACCTATATCTCAGATTATTATTCATTGTTTACGTTGTAGTGCTAATGTGTCTATATAATATCTTCAGCACATTGTTGGTGGTCTTTGGGGCCACGAATAATGAGTTCATGGATTCTGTCTATATGAAAAACATTGCATTTCTGTGTGGTATATATCACACAGGGCTCAAAAAGTAATGCAGATAAATTAATATAAAGCTGTTGGCACAAAACACTAAACAATATTATTAAAAGCTATTTTACTCACTGTGAAGGATCTCCTGTACCTTCTATACTGCTGGACATAAAATGAGCTGTATACTTTTATTAAGCTCAAGCTTTTGCAGTGTATTATTAAAATAGAACATCAAAATTCTCACAGTTTCAATAGTATAGCCATAGGATGCAGTGGCGGCTCGTCAGGGGAGGCAGGGGAGGCACAGCTTCCCCGTAATTTTGAGGTGAGAATGGGAGGAGGACGACTTAATGTTAATAAAATTCACAATTCATTTCGGTTCATGTCTCAGAATGTGTATTTTTTGTTTGTAATTTCACAGTTGTAATACCATAAAGTGAAAGCGCCGCTTTTCTATCGTGAATGTGCCGAATCTGCTGATGTAATTGCAACCGCTAATGATAGAGAAGGGTAGGGGGAGGTCGGGGGAGAGGTGAGCTCTCGTGCCTCCGTTGGTAAAAAAAATTAGCAAATCAGCATCGAGTGTTCACTTTTAGCGCTGAGGAGTGCTGAGAAAAGAAACCTCGTAAGGGAGGCTAGCCTACCTTCTGATATCAACCAATCATCACAGAGACGTAAATTACGTGATATTAGTTTGAACGTCTGCCGCTGCGCTGATAATGTACCAAGTACTTATGATGAGTAGCGATATTGAATATTTGATCGCTAACAGATTTACCAAGCTGTCATTCAAACAGTATATATACAAATTTAGGGAAAACAGTCTAAGCTGAATATAGGCTACAGCAGTCGGCTTAATTAAATGGCGCAACAGGCAGCTCTCTTTTAACACAGAATTTTAAGAAGGGATGGATGTTTGCTTCAAGTGATAGGCCAGGTAAGTGAAATTATATTTTCTTGGTGTATGTATGTCGTTTTCTTTACGTTTTCTGACTAAAAGCAACCAAAAAGCCATTTTAAAGTGGTTAAGCAAATAATAATAATAATAATCGACAGGGATCCCAGACCAATATATTTTAGTATGAAAAAATCACTTACTAGACTTTGTGGAAATTGAAAAAAAAAGTAAAATAGCAATGCAATGCAAAACCCCCCCAAAAAACTAAAACGACTGTAAAAATGATTATTTACACAGCTTTACAGCTCAAGTTTCAGCAGTAGGTCACATTTCTGCTTTTACAATTGGCCCCATTCACTAACCCTAATTTTTGTTGGGGTTTTTTCCACGAGGAAAATGAGAGACAAAGTTGATTTGTAATCAGCATTATTATGCTACAAATGTTGTTGA